ATCATAATTATCATCAAAAAAAGATGATGATAATGGTAAATATTTTGGCTGTGAAAAAATCCTTTTTCTATTTTTATCAATAAACAATTTTCGACCTTTATCATCATCAAGATTAACATTAACATCGACAATGTTCAAAGGGTTATTTTTGTTGTTGTTGTTGTTGGTCATCATCATTATCACATTATCATTGTTGTTGTTGTTGTTGTTAAGGTTGTTTTTATTCATTAAAAAGAATGGTAACTGCTTCTTTTTCTTTTTCATTTGATGATGATAATTATCACTATGAACATCCAAAGTTGGTGATGATGATGATGATGATGATAGATGACATTTATAATTAGAAAAAAAAGGCAGAAGGAAATTTTCATTCGATTTCGAATGTTGATGAATCGGAATTTGGAAACTATCGATTGTTGTCGCTGTCGATACTATCGATTTTCGAATATTTTTTTTTTGTTGTTGTTGTTCATCACCATCATTATTATTCGATGATGATGATGAAGACATGATTGTAATTGACCAAAAAATTGTAAATGATGATTACAATAATGATGCTACATCACACTTGTAGGAACATGGATACACATCACTGAACACTGGATTAACTTAAGAAACACAAACAGCAAACATTACAGGTAAAAACACAGGTAAAACACACACCTGAACTGATTCAGAAATCACGAACACACACAAAAAATGGGCACGTTTTGTAATTAAAAACAAAAATTAAATAACCACCGTTGATGATGATGATCATCATCATCATTTGATTCTGTAATTTTTTTCTTTCTTTCTAAAAACCAAAAGTTGTTGTTGATGATGATGGTTTCACTAAACGAAACTTTAACGGAATGGCCAAATTGACTGACTGACTGAATATGATCGGCAACATTTGCAAAAACAGGGCAAACAAAACAGAAGATATTCGTTTTGGGAAAATCGACAAAGAGAGAGTAAAAAAGGTTTGTGAAGAAAAGAGAAACAAAGATCAAAGATTATGATTGTGAGAGCAGGAGAGAGAAGAAAAATGGAAACTCTCTTTATCATCGTCGGCGTCATATAATTCTCCTAGAAAGAAAGCAAAAATATTCATTTATTTGTCAAACATAAAACTCTCACAGAACAGAACACATCATACCTGATGATTTTTTCTTTCTCTTTTGAAACATTTTTGGCCTCAATTTTTGTTGTTGTTTTTTGCAGAAAGATTTTTAAAGAAAATCATTCTTTAAGAAAAAAAATTCTTTCAGAAATATTGAATGTCGATGTTTGTAGATTATAGCCAAGTTCAATCGGGAATTTTTATTGAATCAAACAAACGAACGAACGAACGAAAAAAAAATTGTCGATTGGAACAACGGATGTTTCTTTTATTATTGGGAAAAAATTGAGTGAATTGAAAACAAACTATATCACGACATTTTTGAACGGCAACAATTATTTCGAATGTTTTTTTTTTGTTGTCGTTTCGAATGTTTTTTTGTTGTTGTTCTTTTCGAACGTTATTCAGGATCCGAGATTTTTTCTTTTTTTTCGGTCGTCGTCATAATTATCATCATCGGTCGTCGTCGATCGTAAATCCAAGCAAAGAAAGAATTTTCAATTGTAATTTTTTTTTTCTTTTCGTTCAAATGAATATTTTCTTGTTGTTGTTTAGATCAAAAAAATAAAAAAATAATAATAATAATAATAAAAAAGGTCAACAACGAAAAAAAAACAGCTATAAAGCTGTGTGTTTTTTTTCGGCTGTTACATTGCAAGAAAATAATGGTCATTTATTGTTGATTCGTATATGAAGAAGTAGATGATGATGATGAAAAAAATGGATGCCATTATCATCCGATTTTTTTTTGATGATTACCGATTTTCATGTCTCCATCATCATCATCGGTGGAAACTAAAACATAGATATAATGAATGTCAAAGAAAGAAACTATTGGGCAAACCAACGGAATCAATAAAAGACAATAAAAGGCGACAATGGCAATAACAAAACAAAAAAATCGAGGTTGATGATGACATAAAGGGTATCATTATCATCATCACCATCATCAACGATAATGGTAATGATCATTCATGGACAATGTCCAACAATTGATCTAAATTTGAACATTGAACAACAACAACAAAAAACAAATCAAATGCCAGTTGACATCGAAATTCAAAACTCCAATAAAATAAAAGGTAAAAATTTCTTTATTTTACCTGTTGAATTCATTTTTTTTTGTCTATTTCAGCACAATTTCTAATGAAGAAAATATATATGTGAAAGACTTGATGGTTAACCAAAAGACAAAAGAAGGAATTTCTGAACAATTTGTTGTTCATCATCAACCATCAAACAATCAAACAACGATGAATATCTTTATCGAACAAATGAAAAGGTTGATTGATTTTTTTTCATTCGTTGTTGAACAATCAACTTTTAATGCCACAGCTCTTCTCGCAATTTTGGAGATCCAAAATTTTTTTCCGGTTCATTTAACCAGTTGTTGTTTTAAATGAAATGAAATGAGGATTCTCAATGATAATTTCAATAACAACATGAACGGATGTGTTGTGTGCTGTTAATGGTAATGATAACGATTTTTGTCTTCAGCTACTGATCTAATTAAAACTTTAATTTTCTATTTTGACACAGAGCCATTTTCTACCGAAAAATTAAATCGAGTTGAAATAGACATTTTTTTTGGCTCATCATCATCATCATTGTTAATTTCAACAACGATCATTTCGATTTATGGCGCTGAACGAATGCAAAACAATGGTTTGAAGAGAGATTATCTTTTTGATGATCGATTGATTTTGATGATGATGGCAATGATGATCATCGATCCGATCAATGCTCCGGTTTTTTTTTCATTCAACTATCATCATAAATATGGATAAAGTAAGTTGGAAAAAAATCGATGCATTTAAATAATATTCATGTTTGCGGTCATCATCATCATTTTAGTTTGTTTTTTTATTCAAAGTTTAGTTTTCGGGTAATTATTATTATCATCATCATCATCTATTTTGAATATTTGAATTGAGAGAGTGAGAGACCATTGTTCATATTAATGATTGATTTTCTTTTCTTCTTTTTCTCTTTTTTCTCTCGTTTGTTACCATTCATTATTTCAAAAGCCAGAAAAAAACAATCAAATCAAATCAATTGATCTGTGCATCCGAAAAAAATTGATTCGCTTTCGTCATCAACAAATCAATGATGATTAGTTGATGAATCTAAATGAAAATGAAATGTTTTTTTTCTGGCTAAAATTGATTAGATCGAATTTACAATTCGAATTTGATGAATGAATGGAAATCTTTTGAAAAAACTAAATAATTCGAATATCAACTATTTTGCGCCATCTATCATCGGAATTTCATAATTTTGGTTATCATCATTTTTTAATCAAACCGACAAAAAAAAGGAACATTTCTTAATACAAAGGTCAGTTCTTTTTTTAATCGATTGATAAACACTTCAAATTTTTTTTTCAATTATCATCATCCTTATTAGGTAATGATGATTAAAAGAACCGATTTTAGAAACACCTTATCGATTACAATCAACAATGACATTGATAATCAAGGGTTCGATGGGACTCAATTTATTTTTTTTTTTTTTAAACATAGATTATCATTCGATTTCCCCAATATATCAATGAACTTAACATCTTAAGATAGTAGATCCGTCAAAAACATCCGATGTCTAGCTACAGGAATCCTATTTTTTCTTTTGTATTTAAATGGATCATTATTCTACAATCATTAATCATTCATCATTATCCCTTTGTTTCATTAACACCGTGAAAACATTGTCAAAAAAATGCAACTTTTAACCATCATTTTCGTTTGTCTATTGCCGGGATTATTGGCCATACCTTTATCATTTGATCATAATAATGATGATTATATTGTTCATTCAATCTATAATTCAACAAGAAATCTGTCACCTGGTGGATGTCCAGTTTGTGAAAGCCGGCACGTTTGCTATGATGATATTGGATGTTTCAGTTTAGATGGCCCTATGGGACATGTTCTATTGTTACCACAATCACCGAAGCATATTAAAACAAAATTTTTAGCATTCAAACCTGGTAAAATTGATACTGAACATGAAGTCGATCCATATAAACCGGATACATTCAATGTTATCGATACTAGCAAGAAAATTGCATTCATTATTCATGGTTTTGCTGAATCACATACGGATGAAATATTGATGGATGCAAAAGATTCGTTACTGAAATATCGATCATCCGAAATTGGTACGGTTATTATGGTTGATTGGAAACATGGAGCAACAGCACCGGCCTATACACAGGCAGCAACCAATACGCAAGTAGTTGGACGTCAAATTGCTCATCTATGCAACGAAATACATAAATCAATTAAAATGGATCCAGAAAAATTCTATCTGATAGGTTTTTCATTGGGTGGTCAGGTCGCAGGTTTTGGCGGTAAATGGTCACGTAGTGAATATAAATGGAAATTTGGTCGTATTACCGGATTAGATTCGGCTGCACCATCATTCGAAGGAAGAGAAGGTGCTTTTCTAACCAAAGATGATGCTGATTATGTTGATGCTATTCATACAACAACCGGTGGTGATATATTAGCTGGTCAATTAGGTTTTACATCACCATATGCACATATTGATTTCTATCCAAACGGGGGTATTGTACGACAACCACCATGTCCTGTTGGAACAGGTATTGCATGCAGTCATAAAACATCGGTTCGATATTACGAAGCATCATTAAGTGCCCAAAAACAATGTCATTTTATTGGACATCCATGTGATAATTATCAAAATTATTTGGATGGTAAATGTAAACTAAAAGATGGTGAAATGGGTTATCAATCATTCCAATTTTTACGATCACATGGTTTACATTATCTATTAACCAGTGATAAATATCCATTTTGTGATAGTAATTAATTTTTTTTAATTAACCAAAAAAAAAATTGTTATTATTATTATTATTAATTATAAAGATCGATTACAAAAAAAGGCATAAATTACAAGATACAAAATTTTAATTTGATTTTTCTTTATTTTCAATTTTGGTACTGTTGTTGTTGTTGTTGTCATTATCAGTGATTTTCGGTGTTACCAACATTGTATCATTGAGTATCTGTTGTTGATTTTCATTATTTAAACTTCGTTCATTAATTAATTCATTAAAATTTGGAATTGATTTTGAGATCTGATGATGATGATGATGATTATGATGATTATTATAATATGGTAGAATAATTTTATCAACCCAATGACGAATATGGCCAACATTTGTATAAACACCAGGTACACCACCTTGACCACAGCCTAAACCCCAGCTAACCAAACCGACAACATTCCATTCACCATTTGATTCACAAACTAATCCACTACCACCATCACCTTCACATGCATCTTTACCTGGTTCACCACCGGCACAAATCATCGAACGATCTAATCGAAAATTATAACCCAATTTTGTTTGTTTTAATTGATTTTCACAAATTCGTGTATCCAATACTGGTAGATCAACTTTCATCAATACACTTTGATATTCACCTTGATGACCAAATGCATTTTTACCCCAACCAGCAACATAACAACGTTGACCAGAAAATGAATCATATGATTGTGGCATACAAATTGGTGATATATGTGGATGTTGACTTAAATCTAATTCTGTATCTAATTTCAATAGAGCAACATCATTCATTAGATTACGTGGTACAAAATTTGGATGTATAAAAATTTCTTCAACATTTTTCTCTACATATGGATAGAATTCATCTTCACGATGTACATCCCATTCACCTAAACGTATTTTTAAATCTTGTGCTTGAAATCTAAAAGAATTTAAAAGTTTAGATAAGGATGTAAACAGAACAACAAACAACAATACATACTTTTTAATACAATGAGCAGCTGTCATAATAAAACCCGAACTAATCAATGCACCACCACAAACATAAAGATTATCGGATGGACCGATTCGTTTTAATATGGCAACTTGCCATGGAAATTCAGCAAATTCTGTTGATGATTGATGATAGTTAAGATTCTGTACACGACCATTAATACCTATGGATTGTCTTTGGCCACAATTTTGATATGCCAAATTTGATGATGGTCGTGGTAGATGTTCATTTCGTATCGGTATTGGTAATGATGGTTGAATTGTATGATCATATGATGGTATCGAATGACTATGCAATGAATGTATTACTTTTGGTGGTCGATAATTTGATGGTGGTGGTGGTCGTGGCCGATTAGCTTTTATCGGTACTGGTTGATATTGTTGTTGATGTTGATGATGATTATGAGTATGGTGATAAACCTGTTCCAATGGTGATTGATGTGTTGGTCGATAATGTGATGATTGTCCAACATAACCAGGTATATTTGAACCAATATAATCAAAATTCAATTGTTGATCATTCATAATCATTGGATTTAAATTAAACGATGATGATCGTTGTTGTTGACAACAAGTTCGTAATAGGCCACATTTATCGGTCATTTGACGATTCAATGATGAACTTGAACCAATCATACGTTCGAGTATTTCTTCAGTAAATTTCTTGGTCTTTTCGAATAGGAAAAAAACATTGAAATTTTCAATCAAATGAAATCAATCGAATAACTTACATTATTTTGTTGATGATTAGAATTACCATCTAAACTTCGTTCATTGATTGCAGCATAAATCATATCATCATCAAATTGTTGTTGTTGTTGTTGTTGATCATTTTTACGTTGTTGATTAAGATTATTATATGGATCGATAGCCGAACCAACAAGGAAACCATTTCGACACATATAAAATGGAACACAAATACAATCGATTTTTCGTTGTAATATCGATTGTTGTTGATTCGATATTGGTCTTTGAATCGAACCAACCATATTACCACCGGCAAAATTTCCAATCAAACCTTGTAATGCAGCACCAATAAATCGTTGATCTTCAGGTCCAGCCTGATGTTGTGGAATTGATTCATGATCAACATTATCATCGTATGATGATAATGATGGTTGATTATTTCGTTTATCAATATTTCGATTATCATCACCATTGTTTGATGATAATTTATCATTGGTAGATGCTAAACCAACAATCGGTATGAATCCTTTGATTGAAATTTTTTCATCATTAATAATACGTCCTTGTCTTGGTAGTTGTTGATCATCATCGTTAAACATTGAACGGCCACGAGAATCATCATAGATTACGGTTGTGGTTGGTGCCGTTGTCGTTGTTGGATTATCATCGTTTGTGGAATTTGTAGCCAATGTGAAGCCAGCAATGATCACCACTAGAATCGATTTCAAAAAAATCATTGTCGAAATTTTTAAGCTAAGTTTTTTTTTGTCACAACGACGAAAAAATGAATCTTACCATCGAAATGATCATCGATTCTTTCCCTTTATATATTCGACAAACAAACGAAAAAAAACCCAAGAAGAAACCATCCTTGTTTCGTTTTTTTTGCCATTGAGAAGGAGTAACAACAACAAAACAAAGAAACTTTTACTCTCTTTTTCGTACAAACTTTTCGTTTCGTCGACGAAGATCTTCGCAAACAAGGAGACAAGTTTCTTTCTTTCTGTTTCTTCGTATTCGCAATTTTGATTGCTGGGAATTTACGCTGTTTTTTTTCAAAATGAACAAGATAAAAAAGAACGACAAACTAGGTCACGACTTTTTTTTTGTGGACGGCAGGTAAGATAATAAAAAGTGAGTGCAAAGAAACAAATGATGATCACCTTTGACTTGGTCAGGTTTTCCCCGAAGAAGAAATTATCATCATCACTTCCAATGGTATTCGATTCGGGATTTTCCAGGCAAATCATCATCTCTTCTCCGATTCGAATGAGAAAAACTTTTTTTTTTTAAACCAGTTTCGGGTAAATATAGCCACAAATATACACACAAATGAAATCAACCAAGCCCAAAGATTCATTTCAAAAAAAACAAAAAATTATCTTTTCATTGTTTACCAAGAAACAAACAAAAAAATGAATAATTTAATTTATTTTTAAAAAGAATAATAAGGTATATTATTTGGAAAAAAAACAACAACAAGGTCAACGAATATCATTTTGGTAAAAAAAAATTGTCATCATACATTACAAATATAAATAAAAAGTTGATGTTTTTTTTTCTGTAAAAAAAATCAACTTGATTTTGGCAACAAAAAATTTTGTTTTGTTTTTTTGTTTTAATAAATACGTGGCCTAATTCGAATCAAAAATGTTCGTATTTGCATCGGTTTGAATAGTATGGAAAAACTTCCCGTACTATCACGTCGTATTGTTTGAGAATCTTTTTTTTTCCGGGAAAAAATTAATAGGGATAAAAAAAGAATGGTTAAAAAAAGAATGGTAAATTATCAATCAAAAAAAGAACTTACCACGTGTAAAACTAGAACTTAAAACCATTGTATAATTTTCATATGGATCTAATTCGGCAGTCCATTTCATTTTATTTTGTTCACTTTGTTCCAATGTTTCCGTACCAAGTAAATTCATTTCCATAACATCAACAATAATAAAATTTGTAAATAATTCGGATAATCGTACCATTGTTTCTTGTGAATATTTTAAATCTTCATTAATTTCATAAAAATGTTCTAAACGTATTAGGATATTTTGTTCATTCCATTGTTCTAATGATAAAAGATGAATATTAACGGGTAATTTTTCACGAATTCCATTCGTATTCAAACCAACAATTAAACTTGGTCCATAACGTGCTGGTACATTACGAAACAAATATACTGGTATCCATGATGTTGTTTTACTTAGTTTACGCATAAATCTAACACTTTCTTGAATTTTATCCAAAATAACACGATGTTTACCACGTACAATTAAACCTTCAGAATTATGGCCAGGTTCATTCAATGCTTCTTCCATACCATAACCATCATCAAATAAAAGACGACGATGTAACATCATTTCAATAACACCATCAACCATACTGGTTGCACCTTGTGATCGATCCGTCAATATTGTCATCTGGATATTTTTACTTAAATCCCGTATGAATGTCCAACTTGTTACTGGATAATAATTACTTGATACTTCTTCTTCGGTAAACAATTCCCATGTTGGTCGATGATGACGAATACGACGAATTGTTTCACGTCCATTTGAATCGGTAAAAAATGTTTGTTTATTCTGGAAATTTGTTTCATATTTGGTTATAATTTCTAAACCAGTTTCATCGGGAAATTTCCCCGTTGGAATCGGCCCGATAACCCAATCAAATTCAATATAATTATAATTTTTATATAAACGTATAACCTGGGTACACCATTCCGTGAATACTTGATGTACTTCATCAACCAATGTACCACGATAAATTTTATATGATGATTTTGTATTTACTATATGTGGATTTTTATGTGATGGTTTAAATACATAAGCACCGGATGGTTTATCACCTGAATATCTACTTGATGCTTTATAATACCAAAATGTTTGAACAAATGGTACATTTTCACCGGTAGGCAATTGAATTTCTTTAATAAAACCAGTAAGACCATCGATTAATATACCAATTTTACCATTATGTAAAAATACATCCTGACCATTTGAAAGCATACTTTCCGATATTTCGGATGATCCATAATCTAAAAAAGTCATGATTTTTGGAATTTCAAAATTACAAAATTATTGAAGAAAAACATAAAATCATCAAGGGACTTACCATTCATTTTGGTAATCAAATAACTTGAAATACCCAATGGATCCAACGTGGACATAAATACTAATTCATGTGTTGCTAATGAATTTCTTTCTTTTAATGATAAAATTTTTGGATGAATCGGTACTAATTGTGATGGAATTAAATGTTCATTATGATCAATAACTTTATATTGTTGATTTTTAACCGGAACACGTACAAAATGTCTTAATGAATGTGCAATTGGATTATAAATACTCATTATTGTACTTAGATGATCTTCAATAAATTCAGTATAATGACATTGTGATACATTCATATCACGACAAAAACCAATAATCGATTGTCCGGGTGCAGTTTTGGCTTGTATTAATGTCATATATGATGATATTATTGATTGTTCGGCTTTATCACTTGCCTGCGAAAGCATTCGTTGATAATCATCATTAACATATTGTTTACATGTACCGGTTACAGCATCATGATGTTGTAGAATTCCCATTACTTCTTTTAAATCTTGAATATATTTTGTATGATCATAACCACGCATTGATAATACATTCAATTGATTGGATGCTTGTAATAAATTGGCACCTTTTTTGATTGCAAATTTTAATGATGGTCGACTAGTAAAATAACCGGTCCAATATGCTTCAGGTGCATCAGCATATGGAAAAAAATCATCCAATTTTATTGGCCAACGACGATTCAATTGATTTAATGCACGTGCATAACATGATGGTGTTGAATAAATAACATTAACTTTTTCCGTTGCTGTCATTGAATTAACAGCATCGATCAGATAATCTAGATTCATATACCATTTTTCCGATGCTTGATAATAAAAATCCATACCCATTGTAATGATCGTATGATTTGTTGCATATTGACTTGCTTGATTTTTGACTGTTTGAATAAATTCTCGTGCTTTTCGCATTATATTCTGTTGATTTAATGTTTCATCAAAACAATTTATATCGAAACAAAAACCTTTTGGTGGCCAATAAACATTCGGTAAGACACCGGTAAAAATGTCACATTTTTCACCAATACTTGGTGATGATTTCCATATAAATTCTAATGTACGCATACGTTCACGTAGATTTTTATCCTGATGATCAATACGACCAACAAATAATGAATCAAAACCCATTTGTGAAAATAATGATGCTTGTTCACGTGAATGACCAAACGGATCAATTTGCCAACCGGTTTTTGTTAGACCACATTGACCAAATGTTTGATTCAACCATTTTACACCTAATGATAAATTATCAATAATTGATGCATAATGGGCTGTTGCTTCATCATTCATACTCCAACCACCGCTTATAAATTCCAATTGTCCTATGTAACAAGAAATGAAAGAAAAAATGAATTATTCATGATATGAGCAACGACAGAGATAGCAACAACAAAACAAAACATAAACATAAACATAAACATAAACATTTTGTAACTGACCTGAATTAACTAATTCATGTACAACTAATTGTACAGTACGTGGTTGATTTTGATACCATCGTGAAAAGAATGATGTTTCAACAACAATAAATCTACGACGAGGATGTTGTGCAAGACTTTCAATAACCGAATTATAAATAACCGGAATATCTATTCAGGAAAATTAAATAAGTTCGGAATTAAAACAAAAAACCCAAAATTAACTTACATCGATGATAATATTGATCATATGTATGTACCCAACCGGTATCTAAATGTGTATGACAAACAATATGAACATTCAATACGCCCGGTAATGTTGGTGCACACGACTAAATTTTGAAAATTTGAAGAATGATTGAAAATTAAAAATTAAAGATTAATTAATTAAAAAACATTACCTGACAATAATGTGCATCAACTGTTGATCGATAATTTAGAAAAATTATTATAAAAAATAATAAAATTAAGATTGATGAAAATAGATTAATAAAAAAACCATTTCGAGATTGTTGATAATAATGATGTTTCGTACTATATGAATGATTCATCATGAAAAACATTCGAATTCGAATTCGAACAGCAAACGAGCAAAAACACTTCCGTTATTTGAACCAAAAAAAAAGATTTTCGGAATGAAAAAAATGAAAAAATAAACTAAATCAAATTGATTGTTTTTTATGGTGATTATGATGATTGTGTCGTTGATGGTTAATGATCATTTCTTCATTTCAAATGATATCATTTAACAAACACACAAGGAAACGAAGACATCGACAACACGCACAAAGACAATTGATGATTGAATGATGATGATGATGATGAAGAAGACAACACAATGATCGTATTCTTTTTTTTTCTTCGTCGATGACTTTGAATTCGGTCAATGATGCTGATGCTGGTGATGATAATGATGATAATAATATTCACACCACCGTTTTACGAAGTTAACAGAAAAAAAAAGTAAGTCAGTCAGTCATTTGATGCCATATACAATTTTTCAATTTTTTTTTCGCTTATGATGATGATTTATGGATTTATTTTTTTTTTCTTTCACACAAAGACATTCACACCAATAATTTTATCATCATCACATGTTCATTACTTCTGGGTCGTGTTGATTGGCAATGGTGATTTCGTTGGTGGTTCAGGATTCAAAAAAAAACACACAAATCATCAAAAAAGGAGCTAAAAATCCAGAAAAGGTATGCAGAAAAAAAAATTTGATTTTTGATTTTTCAATTTATGTCATACTAAGCATCATTTTCATTGCAGAAGTGTCGTGAAATAAAAAAAAACTAAAAAATCCGAATCATCATCATTTGGTTTCTTTAATCGGCTAAAAATACTGGTACAGTACTGTTGCTTACATTCAATCATATAGTGCAAAAAAAGGAGAGAGAGAGACAATCAATCAAACACACAAACACCGAAAGAAGAGAAAATCAAAATCCTTATGGATCCTGAATCGATTTGATTCAATTCAAATTGATGTTCGAATAAATCTTCTTTTTTTTGTACTGTTTGGTTGGTTGAGCCTTGAACAAACGATTATCAAGAAAGAAAATCAATTGAAAAAAAATATTGATCAAAATCAATTTATATTAATCAAATGGTTGTCTGGTATACACATTATAAACATATATTGGTTGCTGGTTTCGAAATCAATCAATCGATCAATGATCAATGTTTTTCATTGGAAAAAAAAGATTCGTTTGAAAGAAGAAAGAAGAAGAAAAAGTTTTCCATTCAACTATTGAGATAAATAGATAAAATAGATTGAACAAATAAACAAACAAACAAAAAAACAAACATCAAAATCATTAATCGATTATCAATGAATTATTATTGGAATGAATCATGAAAAAAGAGAAGATATTGACGACACTACCATATATCATATTGACAAAACACAAAAGAGGCAAACCCAAAAAAAAAAAATGATCAAACAAAAATTTTTTTGGAAAAATGATATGACACCATTGATCAAAATTGCTGACGATAATTTTTTGATATTCAATTGCAAATCATGATCATTCATTCATTCATTCATATTCAATGCTGACGACGACAAATGATGAATGAATGAATGAATGAATGGAAGAACGACAACCTTGTTGAGTAATGATGATGATGATGTTGATGAAAAATTCTGTAGGATTTTGTTGGTTGGCGACTTTTTTGCTAACCAGCTGCTGATTTTTTTTCCTACTAACCAGTTTCATTTAAGCCGATGATCACGATTTGTGGATTTTTGTTTACGAAAAAAAATTTTTGGCGCGCACTTATCATCATCTTTCAATGAGAAACATAAGAAGAGAAAAAAAAGAACATTCAAAAAATCAAATCAAAAAGAAACGGAATAAAAATCTTTATCATCATCATCATCCTTGTTGTGTGTTTGTGTTTAATCATGGCCATTGTTGAATATCTTATCACGATGCCGATGTTATCGTTGCCGCCGAATCATCAAATAAAATCATTTGAATGAAAAAACTAAAAACAAAACAAAACAAGAAGCTTCGGGGGCCAAACATTATAATTTTGTTGTTGTTTTGTTTCAATCAAATCAAATTAACAAACAAACAAACCTAAAGTAAGGACAAGTATTTTGTTTTTTGAAAAAAATAATGTTCTTCTGAATGAAATTATCTCTAGCAAAAAACAACAAAAAATATGTGATTGAAAGAGACACGACTTGAATGAATGAATGAATGAAAATGACTTCAATGACTGATTGAGTTAGTTAAATAAAGGAAGGAAATTTTTTTTTAAGCATCATCCAGATCATTTTACAGCAACAAAAGCAGCTGATAAATTCAATTCAATTAATATGATATGATAGAAATGAATCTGTGAAAAGAGAGTCGATTGAATTGGCCAAAGAGAAATTTGATTTTGTTTTTTATTTCGGGAAAAAGAAGAGAGAGAACATCAACATTTGAAAGGTGTTAATATGAGAAGCCATCATCATCATCATAATCGATTGGATGGAGCGAAAACATCGATGGTCAAACATCGATATTTAATGATGATGGTCAATGGTCAATAGGGAGAGAGAGAGAGAGAATTGATGACAAATCGAATCTGGAAACAAAACAAAAATGGTTATTTTTGGTTGTTTAGGTAACGATAATAATAATTTTATTTGTAAGAAAGTGCGTCATCCAACAGGATGTTTGCACCATTTAAAGTAAAAGAGATTACAAATAAAGATTGAAAATACAAATAAAATACAAGTAGAATAATGTAAAGAAAGTGTAATTAAAAAATATTTACAGGTGGAGAAGAATGTGTTATTGAATTTAATTGTGTTTTTTTTTTGTGATGATATGTACAAGTGTGGTGAATGAAAAGGTGTTGTAAAGTTGTCACATGCAGTTGTTTAGGTAACGATATTTTTATTTAAAAAATTGTTTTGTTTAAATTCCATAGAAAAAAAACTAGATCAAAAAAAAAACGACAATCACCCATCACCCGGACAATCGAATTCGTTTTGATTGTTCGTCCACCTGGATCGAATTCGAACGATTGATCAAACGAAAAACATCCAATCATCATCATCGTCACCAAAATGTCAATCGAAAAAATTGATCAAAAAAAGAAAGAAAAAAGTTTAAGGCGACAAATCAAGGTCCACGAACATCAAAGAAAGGACACAAAATTAGGAAATCTTTTAATTGATCATTTTGCTTTAAGCTTTAAATGCTTCCGTACGTAGATAATAATCGATTTTATTGATTTGATAATGATAATGATATCCATTTTCGCAATCAATTCGATCGATCGATGGCCAATCAATCGAAATTGAATTGATTGCATGTCATATCAAATTACATGGTCTCTTATCACACACACCCTATCATATTAATTACAAATCTGATTTTTTTTTTCTTGATCAAAAACATTTCGAAATAAAAACATCTTATTTTTGCGCGCCTGACACATCTGTCTTTTTGATTTGGTTTTTTTTTTGAAAACAATTTTTATTTCAAAAAACTAGATGGCGTTAGCTATTCTAGAAAAGGGAAAAATAATAGTTTCGGATATTGATTAGTTGGTCGAATTGAGATTTCTTCGACAAAGGAAAATCTTGATGATGATTATGATGATGGACTTTGATAAAGCAAACATTATTTGATGAATGAATGAATGAATTTTGTTTGAAAAGTTTTTTTCACCGAAAAAATTCATATATTTACATTGGACATTATCAATTTGATCATTGATGGCGGTGGTGGTCGATTATGTTTCAATTTCGGCTGCCGTTAATGTTTTTTTTTCGTTGATGATTTTTTGTTTGATCAACTTGACCGCAAAATCCAACAAAATTAACTCAATAAAAACAGCGGCGGTAGTTTTTTATTTAAATAGCAAATAAAAAACCAAAGGTAAACAAATGCATCTTTCTCTGTGTTTTTGTTGCTGGATCATTTTTTTTTTCATTTCGGGGCCACACACAAAGCCAAAGATGACCGCCACCGCTGCTGTTTTTGTTTACACATTGATAGTATTGACATTTTGAAAAAAAAACTTGAAACAAATTGACAAAAACTATCGATTATATCGATTATCGAAGTTTTCTTTTTTTGTGACAATTTTTTTTGTTTTTTGTTTCATATCACTTTCAAATGATGTAAAAAAGTTGTTTGATTTGGTTTTGGTTGAGCTGTGAATTATCTTTTATGTAAACGAAAAACAATTTGAATCGAAAAGAACGGAAAATTTGTCACCATTTCTATGTAAATCGGAAATCTAAATGTCTTTCGATTGTTTCTACGGAAAAGTTTTTTTTTCATTCATTAATTATGATGGCCATTAAGACGATAATGTTTTTCTTTCTTTTTTTCCACAGGAAACAATAGAAATTCATAATGAAAATTATGATAAATGTGTTGTTTGGTTGAATTACATCAACCTTGTGTGTGTGTGACAAAACAAAAGGAGAAAAACAAAAATTTATTAGCCCTGAATTCTATAGACAAACAAAACAAACAAGCGAAATTCTTATTTATTTGTGTCCATGATACACCAAAGGAACAACGCTAATTTAAAATCAAAAACAAAATAAAATAGCCAACGAATTGTGATTTTTTGTCCATAATTCATTTGTTGTTGGTGTAGGAGGCAAAGTGAAAAATGAAATTGTCACCTTTAAATAAAAATAAATAAAATAAAATTCGTGTGACATTTGTCATTAACCATCCGGCTATATAGTGGAGATTATCCTTGGTGGAAAAAACAAAACAAAACCAGCCAGCACGTGTTTATAACGTGAAATTTTTTTTTCGATTTTGAAAATGGCAATGAACCTGAACCCTGTACAATTTTTTCTCTATTTGGTTTGTTTGTTTATTTCGATGAAAATGACCAATTTGTTTGACAAGTTCGAATAAATTTTTTTTTTCGTTGTTGACCATTCGGCTATTCTAACATTGTTGGATGATGATGATAGTTTTTTGTTGTTGTTGTTTGAATTCGATAGCTTGTTTGTTGATTTGATTTTTTTCTTTCTTTTTGACCATTCATATTTTTCGGATTCATTGTCATTGCCGACCAGTTCCAGAAACACAACAAACAAACAAACAAACACAAAAACCAACTAGCTTCGTTCATTCATTCATTCATTCATTCACATCGACAATACGGTCAGCACGCGAATAATGTTGTTTTGAAGGTCTTGAAAAGAAGAAGAAAAAGAAAAATGAAAGAGATTGTATTGGTCACCAAAAAGCATTGTTTGTTTGGTTGTTTTGAATAAAACTGAATAAAATGAATGAATGAAAACTTGGTGATGGATTCAATAACTCTTTTTTTTCCATTTTTTTTTTCATTCAGATTCTATGGTTTCTTTCAATTTTTCATTGAAAAAACAAAAAAATTTTGATGATCAAATGAAATCGAAACCCCGATCGATATATTCAATTTCGTTGTTTAGTTCAGTTATTTACAGTTGGGTTCCGTTCTCGTGTTTCATTTGATTTTTTGTTGTTGTTCAAAAAAAAATTTAAATCAATCTACGGTAGCATATTACCAATTTGTTTTTTTTTGCTTTGAAAAATTTTCTAAAGGGACGAGACAAATGAATTGAATTGAATTTTTTTGGACTAGTGAAATACGAAACTTACAAATTGGTTTGGTTCTTAACTCTTTCCTTCTCTTAACCCTTTCTTTCTTTTTTCGCTGTTGTGGATAATGATTTTAAGAAAGTGTTCGACTGTAAGTATTGTGTGATCAGATTTAACCAAACCAAAGTCCAATAGAGGGTTAGGGTTAGAACCAGAAAAAATAAAATTGATCCAGAAAAGTATTATGGTTTGGTAGTCGAACATTTGAATGAATCGGATCATACTACACATATTACATCGAATTATCAGGTTTTGGCTGATTTGAAAATTGTAACCCTTTTTTTTCTTTGGCTGGTTGGTTGATGATAATCAAGCAAGCAAGGCTGCTATTTCTGAATTAAGCTGTTTTTCAAGGACGACAAACGAAATGGTGAAAAATTCAATATTTCACTTGGTAAAATGGAGAAAATATAAAGATGATGGCTCTCTCTCGTTCGTTTCCAATGTTCCAATGTCGTCTTTTTACAACAACAAGCAACAAGCTTTAAATCAACATAATCTTTTTCCTTTTCTGTTTTTTTTCTGAATCATTCAATGAAATGAAAAAAAGAAAGTCTTAAGTCGATCATGTTTGTTATTCTAACCTAAGATTTAAGAAGAAAAAGAAAAAACGAAACGAAAATAAAACCCATAGATATTCAATTCATTCATTCAGTTTTTTTTTCATCTTACCTACCGACGGATTAATTCAACGAAAAAAACTTTTCATTCATTTTTTGTTCAAGTGAAAAAAAAACACTTGCCCGGCTCTCGTAATCATCGAAATCATCAACATTGGATCTTATGATTGCCATTAACGTAAAAGGTAAGGTACCTCAGGTATAAAGAGCTCTTAGTTTATCCATTTTTTTTTCGTTTTCTTGCTTTGTTTTCTGTTTAGTGCCGCGATATAATTTTCTTTCTTTTCGAGAAAAAAGATTTGCATATGAGTAACGTGGTTTAACGGTTCAAATGATGATGATGATGATGAAAATGAAAAAAAGAAAAGAAAAGAAAATGACCCAACATTATGTGTTCCATATTAAATTTGGAACAACAATAACAAAACATGAAACGAACTGAAAAATCAAAAAAAAAAATTCAAAAAAAGAAGAAAATTGATTGAAAACAATAACAACAACAATGGCCAACTATTTCTACTTGGATCGAACAACCAGGGAAGAAATAGGGGACCGTCAATTTTTTAATACGTTCGAAATTTTTTTTTTCGTTCGTTCGAAGACTAAGAAGGTAAAGAAGAAGAATGGTATCAAACGACGACGACGACGATAATAATGGCATTTTTTTTTTGTTTGGTGAATCCAAAACAATGGATGTGAATGAAATGAAATTTTTGAAAAAAAGCGAGGAGGATTTATGCTTTTCTGTTTTTTCCATTCATTTTCAAATTCAATTCGCTCAATGAATGAATGAATGCGAAGAGGGAGAAAAATTTGAAAAGAAGAAAATTGTCAAATCTTAAATCGAAAAGTGAATCGAAATGAATGTCAAATCGGGATGGTTGGTTGGATTGGCAAAAAAAAAGCAAAGAAGAAAAAATTAAATGAATTCAGCAATGTCAACCTGCTCTGCTGCTGTTGCCATAAATATTGGTCGAATGAATGAATGAATGACGACGACTGCGACGAAGATCAACGTTCCAGCACACCTTATTATTACGATGAATTTTGACAAAGTGACCTTTTCTGTTTCGTTGTGTGTATGTTTTCAACCATTGAAAACAACGACCATAAGGTAAGAAAATCATTAAGAGGGGTTAATAATCACATTGATAATCATTATTTTTTTTCAAAAGAAAAAAAAATTGAATTTTAAATTTAAATTTTTTTTATATATAAAATATTTTCAAATGTTTATAGAAAAAAAATTGGTTGAGGGGGTGGATATTTATGAAGAAAAATATGGAAAAAAAGCTGTTTGCTGGTATAAAATATTGATAGGTGTAGAAATCACAGGCCAAAGTCATTTTTTATGAACATCAATTTGGAATGAAAAAAGAGATTGTATATTAGTTATATGGCAGTAGAGTAGAGTAGTGTAATGTAACGTAATGTTTCATTCTTAAAAATGAATAAAATGAATGGATGTATTTTTATTTATATATAGGGTGATTTGATTCGGTGTTGTCAACTGTGAAGGTCATGAATGAATTTTCGATGCCATCGTTATGACCGATATTTTTGTCGTTGGATTAATATGATGATTATGATGATGATGATTGGTAATATTTTCATCAAAAAATGATGCTGTTGATGATAATGTTGTTGGTGAATAATGATCATATTGATTTATTGATGATGATGATGATTGATATAGAATATCTGAAGATGATGATGAAGATGATAACGAAGATGACGAAGATGATGATGGTGGACTATCGGTTAAATGAATCGGTGATGATAATGTTGTTGGACTTATTAATTGATCATGATTTTGTTGTTGTTGTTGGCTATCCAATGATCGTAATGTTTCTGATAATGCCCAAATATAATCATGTGCAAAACGTAATGTTTCAATTTTAGTCATTTTATTATTCTGATTACTTGAATGTTGACTATTATTACCATCATCACTAAAATTATCATTATTATTATTATCATTATTATTATCAATATTTTCAGTAAATGATGATGGTAATACTGAACGTAAACGTTCTAATGCTTTATTTAACATATGCATACGATTACGTTCACGATCATTAGCTTTTAAGCGACGATTTCGTTTTAATTTAACAACCAATGATGGACTTTTTGATCGTATTCGAGGTTTTGTATTCCGTTGATGTTGTTGTTGTCGAGGTTGTCGTGGTTTTTTCTCCGATTTTTTACGATTATTTTTTACTATTCGTTTTGATGATTCTGGTATCATAGCCGTTGATGATGTGGTGGTGGTGGTAGATGTTGCATCCATTATGGTTTGAATTTCTTCATTTTCTTGATCAACAGCGGTAACAAAATCAAAATCATCATTTGCAATCATCAAATTTGGATCTTGTTGTTGTTGTTGATTAAATATTTGAAAATGATGATTAGAATCAATTGGAAGTTGATTCAAATCTAATAAACAATCATCGATACTATCGATAGCATCAAAATCATTTAGAAAATAACTATCGATTGTTGTTGTTGTTGATTGTGGCTGATTATCAATCAACATGTTGTTGTTGTTGTTTCCAGTAGCTAGATCGACGTTATCATCAGTTGTAGGTGGTGGATATAGATTCATAAAAGGCATTTTATTTGTTGTTTGATTTACCAAATGATGATTATTGAGAAAATTAGCCATTCTGGAATCCATTTTGTTGGATCGGTTAAAAATTTTGTTTTGAAAAGGCCAAGTGGTTAAAAAACGTAAACGTCCGGTTGATTGGGATTTTGGGTAAATATTTGAATAATTCCTGACAATGATGATTATCATAGGAAGAGAGAGATAAAGAGAAAAAAAATCAAAATTTAAAAGAAATTTTCTTGAAAAAATTGGCTTGAAAATCAAAAATTTTTTTGTAAATATTGATATAAGGTGAAAGAAAAAAGAAGAAAATTTCTATTTTCACAACATCATTCTTATTCAAATATTTAAAATTGAGCTAAGCTAATTTTTTTTCTGTTCAGGTAGCTGTTGAATGGGAGGAAAAAAATCCAAGGTGGTCCAAATGGACAGAAACAAACAGAAAAAAACAGAACACCAAACAATAATGGATTTTCATTAAACCATGATGACCACCATTGATAATACATTAATACATTGACCAGGACAGGAAAAAAAATCAAAAAATTTAATCAAAAATTTTTAAAAATTTAAATTTTTTTCAGAAAACCAAACAAAGACTTCTATTTCAACAATAACGGACATTTTGTTCAAACACTATATACACACACACCTATTACCCTACTTTTATTATGATTCGAAAATTGACAATGGCTATCCAACAAAAAAAAAAAAAAAAAAAAGCTTCTGATTTAACCAACCATTGATTCAATGGGAAAAATAAATCAAAAACTAAATCAAACAAACCGTA